ATACTTTGTTTTTTTTCTTTTTTTTTTTTTTTTTTTTTTTTTTTTGAGTCGGTCTTATTAATCGTCAATAAAATGCCTCAACACCCGGCACAGAAATTTTGGCACTTGCTGCGCAATGAACGTCGCATGCGGTGCTGAGATATACGCGACCGAGGCTACTGACGATCGGCCGCACGCCTCCTTACTCACTTATAAAGTTAATTGAGGGCAAACGTCTACCACAATCCTCTACTGACTATCTCGAAAACATTCCAGCCAAGATGTAAGAAGAAGGAGAAGAAGAATTAAAGGGATTTTCCGATTTATTCTGTCGAAAAAATCGATTTTATTTTCTACATTTAAACAATTTTAATTGATTTTTCTCCATGTTTATCTATATATTTAAAAGACTTGTGATAGTCATGAACTTTTATACGTATAAATGCGTCAATTCTATCACGTTCTATGACAATTTTTAACGCGTTTTTCACAAAAATCCTTTCCTTCGTATTGACATTCGCGAAAACTTAAAAAATTGGTAACCACTGATATGACATATATCATTCGTAATTAAATCCTGCATTGCTTGGCTTATCAAAAAGAAAACGACAAATATTTTTCATCTATTTTTTAATTTTAAATTTGTGAAAGAGTATAACCGATAAATGAAAAAGAGGTTTGAACGGTTTCCAATATTTTTTTCGCAGGATGAACGGATGTCTTATAAAAAGAAATTTCTTTTTTTCTCGTTTCGGACATTTACAAAGGTGAAATCCCTAAGAGATGCCGTCAATCCCTACGTGCTCTGCGGCACAATCTTTAAATGGATGTTTTTTCTATCACGAAAAGAAATAAGATCAATATAAAAATGATCAATACAATTACAATAACAAAAATTATCAATTTTTATCTACTTAATATATTTTGAAGAGAGAAAATTGAATAAGAAACTTTTACCTTTTGATCTCCAATAAAAAAGAGGAAAATTACTTTAATCGTACTTTTAACCCATCGGATTTTCTCTTTTTTTCGATCAGGAAAGATATCGAAAGATTCTATTTTGAGCTGTGATCTTTACGATCATAATATCGAACCAGCTGATATATGTTGCGTGTTATTTAGA